CACCTGTGCTCACCTGGGCAGGACTCGGTGCGGCTGCTGGCTGTGGAAGTGTGAATTGTTTTGGAGGATTACCTGGGAGTCACCTGGGGGTCACTTGGGGGTTCCCTGGGGGTCACTTTGGGGTTACCTGAGGTTCATCTCCGCACACCTGTGCTCACCTGGGCAGGACTCAATGCAGTTGGTGGCAGTGGAAGCATGAATGGTTCTGGGAGGTTCCCTGGGGGTCACTTGGGGGTTACCTGGGGGTTACTTGGGGGTTACCTGTGGCTCATTTTGGGGTTACCTGAGGCTCACCTGTGCTCACCTGGGCAGGACTCGGTGCGGCTGCTGGCGGTGGAGGCGTGAATGGTTCTGGGGGGTTACCTGGGGGTCACTTGGGGGTTACCTGGGGGTTACTTGGGGGTTACCTGTGGCTCATTTTGGGGTTACCTGAGGCTCACCTGTGCTCACCTGGGCAGGACTCGGTGCGGCTGCTGGCGGTGGAGGCGTGCGTGAGCATCGCGCAGCTGCTGCCGCAGGAGGAGCTCGAGGGGCTGGTGATGCCCACGCTGCGCCAGGCGGCCGAGGACAAGTCCTGGCGCGTGCGCTACATGGTGGCCGACAAGTTCACCGAGGTGGGCGCACCCACCTGGACACACCTAGAGTACACCTGGGGGCATCTGGGGCATACTTGGGCACACCTGGGGGACACCTGGGCGCACCTGGGTATGCCTGGGGACACCTGGGCACACCTGAGAGACACCTGGGGCACACCGAGGGACAGCGGGGGGACACCTGGGCACACCTGAGAGACACCTGGGGCACACCGAGGGACAGCGGGGGGACACCTGGGCACACCTGAGAGACACCTGGGGCACACCGAGGGACAGCGGGGGGACACCTGGGCACACCTGAGAGACACCTGGGGCACACCGAGGGACAGCGGGGGGACACCTGGGCACACCTGAGAGACACCTGGGGCACACCGAGGGACAGCGGGGGGACACCTGGGCACACCTGAGAGACACCTGGGGCACACCGAGGGACAGCGGGGGGACACCTGGGCACACCTGAGAGACACCTGGGGCACACCGAGGGACAGCTGGGGGACACCTGGGCGCACCTGGGGGCACCTGGGGCACACCTGGGCACACCTGGGCTTGAGTTCTGGGGAGGTTTGGGGGATTTGGGGACGTTTGGGGATTCTGGGGAATGTTTGGGGACACATCTGGGGGGCACCTGGCACACCTGGGCACACCTGGGCACACCTGGGGATGGGTTCTAGGAAGTCTTGGGGGGTTTGGGGCATTTTGGGAACTGCGGGACATTTGGGGCCACACCTGGGGGCACACCTGGAGCCACCTGGGGGCACACCTGGAGCCCCCTGGGGGCACACCTGGGCACACCTGGACGCACCTGGGCCGTGTCCCCGCAGCTGCAGCGCGCCGTGGGCCCCGAGATCACCAAGACCGACCTGGTGGGCGCCTTCCAGAGCCTCATGAAGGACTGCGAGGCCGAGGTGCGGGCGGCCGCCTCCCACAAGGTCAAAGGTCAGCGGCCACGCCCACCTGGCCCCGGGGTCACTCACCTGGCCTTAGGGTCACTCACCTGTCCTTGGGGTCAC